AGAAGAACAGTGGATAACTGGGGGGAGAAGGGATTACTAATAATGGGGTCATCATATCAAACCAAGATGTGGTTTATTTATTCTTTATGAATTCATGATAGGTGGAATGGGTCAACTGACTTGTTTCATCCGAATCTATCATCTCTGGTAGTGCTCATCTGCGTATACTAATAGCGTAGGCAGGGTACCATTTCATTATTATCTATTAAAGAAAAACAGTGGGTGCCTAGATATGTGATTATTATGTTAATATTTTGTCTTTTTGGCATCATCTACATCAATATAAAAATGTAAATTAAAAATTTGCTTTGCACAGGTGTACGGATGAAAATGGATTCAAATCTTTTCTTCAGACAACGAGTACATCATCACTGTATCAACTGTCCACTGCTGAACATTGGCCTCCCTTATGGGGGGGGGGGGACTACTACTAGTGGTTGCCATGCTTGCTAGGCGGATTGGCAACCGCAGTTAAACTTTGGTGATGTTTAAAGAGGGACGCTGTTGGCTCTTCTTTGATCATTAAATTTGCCTAGTCCAGCCACTTACGACACCCTCGGGAAAGAAAGGAGTGGCCTATTCTTTGTTGGGACCACACAGCTATATAAATACATAGATATTTTTAATTGTTTACTTTTCTTTTCTAGGTACCTTATCTTTTATTGGCAATTACAAATATAAAATAAAAGAATTAGCTGAGTAAATGTAGCCGTTTGGAAGTGGTGAGCTTACACTAGCCAGTCTTTATGTACTAACTAGGTCTGTTTATGTTTTTAAAATGATAATTTAATTAATTTCTTAAAAAATTATGTTACCAGTAACTAACTAAATAGGCTTTCAATTAAATTAATTAGATGCAATATCGAGGTTGAACGAACTAATGAAATACCACGACGTGTCCTGGCGTACCTATCTACTTGGAAAGCATTACGTTATATTAAACTTTATGCGCTTTCCATAAAGTATACCTATAATTATTAAATAAATCGATGGTTTGGCAACATTTCGATTTACTTAATTAGCTTCTCCGTTCTACGCAATCCATATGTATTAGTGGAAGACTAATTACTTCCAAGATAAACAATGTTGTAACAATTGCCTGTTCGTTGAATCGCTTAATGACATTAATAGATATTAAGCTAAGAGATAGTTAGCTTCTCAACAACACAATTATTAGTTACACAAACAAATAAATACTTACTGATATTATGAATGTGAAAGCGAGTTTGTTTATTTGTTTATTACCTCATAGTGCTTTAACAGCTTAAACAATTGCTATAAAAAATGTTATACATCTATTATGTGGGATGGAAAACGATGTTTATATTGTTATTATTATCGTAGTAGAAGTATATCGTTTATCATTTAGCGAGGTAAAAGGAAGGGTTTTGTTCCGAGTTTCTTTGCATGCCGGCATCCGGAACATAGAAGTACTATTAGAAAGTACCGACATGGTCCGAAGAACTATCAAGCTGAAATAGTATCAGGCTTCTCCTCCACACCAGCTATGAAAGAAAGATGTTGTGAAAGATAGGTTCCAATAGCTGGGAAGCAAAATGTGGGGTGACCCATCGCGTAGTGGAGCAACAATTTCGAAAGTAGTGCAGGATGTTTATGGATGGATGCTTAGCGATGAAGGATCGTATTTAGTGGCGAAAAGAGGAAAATCTATGTCCAGCAGTGAAGGATAGATAGGTTGTATTAATAATGAAGATAAAATATATCAAAATTATTTATTATACTTACAAATTGTTATTCTTAATCAACATGATCAATACAGCTCCTATTCACTAAGTCACAAAGACTATAACTCCGTTGTGATTCTTAATTTTTATAGACTTAAATTGAATATTATACAACTTGTCAATAGATCAGTCGTCTGTTAAGAATATTTTATTTAGTCGAGTGTCTTAGTACCTACCGTTTGGTATGTCGACATAATCCAGACAAATACGATTCATAGTGGATATTACCGAAACGAGTAGGCAGAGAGAATTATTATTATACACATCTCTTGTTTCATCCATTTTTATAATAACGTGCCTTTTTAGGGACGAAGATGCACCAGAGCAGTCTTCCAAAATTTTGGGACTATATATACCTGATGAGTAACAGAACCGAAAAAGACGCATAAGAACCGCACAATTGGAGGAATACCATCGGGCCCACTTGACCTGTGGATTTTGAGGGAGAGAAGTACTCTTCGTACTGAATATGCGTTAATTTCAGGCATACAACTTTTAAAGATGGTTTCTCCCCGTCATCCAACATCAAGTTAGATGCAAATAGGAATCCAAGGAAATCGGCCTTTTCTTTGGCGTTCACAGCTAATGAGTTATCCTTCTTGCGCAATGGTGGAAAAGATGACTTACAGAAATCCCCCTGCGGAGCTTTGATAAGGACCAGAAAGCTCGAGATCCCGAAAGCAAACTAGCCAATCTCCTGCTAATTCTACTAATATGACTGACTTCGCTGTGGCTATAACTCTTTTGAAGGACCTAGAGGTAAAGTTGTACTTCTTTTTAAGGGCACTGGTGTTAGGCTCTCGTGACACCACAGCTTTGACCCAGGCTAGAAAGCACTCCTGTTTCATTTACTTTTCTTTCATAGATAGAAGCTAAAACTGTACTTCATATACATACAGCGCCATCTCTTGTGGTATAGATAAATGATTATTGAAGTTTGACAATTCAAATACTAGGTATTTACAAAATTTGACAACAGATGGCATGAGTTCTGTCCACTTACGTGTCTCCTTGTCCTTGATTCTTATTTTATTTATTTATTTCATTTTTTCCTACATTTTAGTTTTTAACTATTCGAAATATTAAACAGATATAGCGTACTTGATGAACAGTATTAATTTGCCACTTAAAGATGTGGAAAACATCATAGGTAATAAAAATTACTATGTACTGCTTTTATCAGAAGCAGCAATAAGCGTGAAAAGGGGGGAAAGGGATTTTTAGTGATAAGATTTAACAGCCCCATTGCTAGCAATACACCCCATCAGGTCGACCTCCACGCGGTTCCCCCTGGAAACCATAATGGTTCATTGTTGTTCAATTGGTTACTATGGGCCAACTGACCTGCCTTCACCCTCATTTGTCACCCTTCACTGGTGCCCCGCCTGTGTATACCGATGGTGCAGGCAGAGTTACCATTCCATCTTCATTCATTAAAAAAAAATAAGTGTGAAATTATAGTTAAGCTTCCATTCTATAAGTTTAAAGTTTGTTGTGACTCCTAAAGCGAATAGTCTATTAACAGATTTATGAGATATATTAATTCGTAATTAATTACTAATATGAAATTCGCCGTGTGTGTCCCGGCGGAAGGCTTATGTTCAATAGTGGACAGTTAACAGTTGAAATAATAATAATTAAAAATAGATTAAATATACAAACAGAAAAACCGCACAATTGTTTATTTAAAATGGTTGCTTATATATCTCTCATTTAGGAAATAAATAAGGAATATTGCAAATATATATATACATCTAAGTAGCATTAAACAAAAACAAATTAGATTATTATTAATTTATTGTACCAGAGGGATACCGCACAAAAGTGGTAAACCATCAGGTGGTCCATCAGCTTGTTTGCTATTTTAAGTTGCATAAAAAAATAATTAGATACCCGTCACACGTAATGCAAGTTTCACAATTATTAATATAATAAAACTAGTTTAAGACTAGGACTTCGTTTGCGTAGATTTTGATAAAAAGCAGCCTAACTACGAGTATAATTACTTCTTCATTTCTTGAAAGCATTAAATTTAAATTTAATTTGACAACAAGTGCCACGAACCTCACTCACACGCGTTATACTAAAGATATTCTCGTCGTTGTAACTTTTAAAACATTCATCCAAATTCCTAACTGTAAAAGACAAGGATAATGTATTTTAAATGATTTTTTAATAAATATTTTTATTTGGATAAGAGTTAATATAAACGCGCATTGTAAGTGTAATGTTAAATCTATCTATATAATAATATCTCTTAGATGGCAGGATTTTTGTCGATTTACCTACTTAAAAGTTTTAGGCCAAATAATACTTCGGCCAATTTATATAACATCTTAGTTTATTATAGTCTACGTAATATTCTAACACCATAAATCATAATACTGTAAAGTTTTATTAAAATCCGTTCAGTAGGTTTTGCTTGAAAGAGTAATAAATATTAATCCATCCAACCATTGTTATTAACTTTTTTTTAATATAATTGAAAATAAACGGTGTACATGAAACCGATGTATGTTTAATCTTGACGTGCCCTAAAATACACGCATTGCGTACGCGTAACGTAGCGGGCAAAAAGATAATTTTTACTAATAACGAATGCCAGGTTTGTTTATCTAGGGCATAGAAGAACACTATAATAGAAAAGTACATTTTCTAAATTGGCTCAACGTGGAATTGAACTCACGATTTTATTTCTATGATACAACATGTCTACCATACCACTTGTAGGTATGTTCTTTTTTCTCTCAATATATATCCTTATTTAAAAAGAAAATATTTGTATAGTGTTTTTTTTTCATTTTACTTGACTTATTGCTTTGGGTTAACAATAAACTGGCCATGACTATTCGTTTATTGACTTTTTATTGCATAAGAAATCTTTTGTGTGTGAACATAATTTATTTAATTACCTATAAATGTTAACATGCAAGCATTGCGAACTAAGAATTTGCCACGATTTATATATCTAACATTAAAATAAATGGAGAATTACGATATATGTATCTTATTATAAATAATTATAAATAGGTAAGAATAAGCCTAATCTCAAATTTTAATTATCTAAAAGTTATTAATAACGGAAATAGTTAAAACTGGCAAATCAGTAACATTTGATTAATATTGAATATTCGTAGATATAATCATATATATTATATATGATTAAATATATGAAATTTAATTTACAAATAAATTATTTAATCAGAAAAAAACAAATATGAACTAAAAGATATATAAAATAGAGAAAACCATAAATAAGAACAGGACAATACGTAACGCTTTATTCTATCCAACAAGTATAAAATAGACATCAACTCGGTCATTATACATGACAAATGCAGGAGCACACATCCCAGCAAAATTATCTATCTCCACAAGGAGCACAACTGCGATCCTCTAAAACAGATGTTTTAGAGTAATGAGTTTTCTCGGGTAGTAAGATAGTGGTTCTGATATTTAGAAGGTTACTTGTTTCTTTTCCCGTTCGGCACGGATGGTGACTTTAGAAGCGGCGATGGCAGTTGTGTTGGAGTCAATAGAATCGCTGTCAGCGACGAGAGCCCGGAGACGAGCTGCGCGTTTCTCTCTTGCGGCGCTTCGTTCATTAAGTTCAGTCATTTCATCCTCTAAGTCGGAGAGACGTGCTCTTGACGCTTTAGCCCTCAATGCTGCTGCGCTCTCGTCGTCGCTTTTTATTGCCGTCCACTTTGTAAGAGAGTTCTCTTCGTTAAGTCTCCGAGCGATGCGTTTCTCTGTGCGTTCCTCGTTTTCCTGAAGTGCCCGTCTTGCTCCGCTGATTTCGGTTTGTCCGAGCCCAACGCTCTCCAATATTTTATCAGAGATCTTAACACGGTTCTCGATATTGGAAACAGCATTCTCAAAGTCTATGTCTTCTGCGAAGCGGGATGTCTTCTTGCCAGCACGCAGGCGTTTTAATGATTCTGTGATCTGTAATGAAGAAAGTAATGGTGTGATTATTTCATCGTACATATTATAATTACGAATTTTACACGAGGTCAATGGGTAGTATATCTACATGTGTGTGTATATTATATATAGATAATGTATACACACATGTGTTTATCACGTCTATTTTCTATTGACAAAGACCAAATGCAAAAGAGCATTTATTCTCAATGTTATTCGGTATATCACAAGACTGTTTGCATTTGACGTTCTCTTGTTTCTGCCTTTCATTTATTTTTATTGAATACAATCGACCGTTAAAAAATTAATGCTGAAACTTTTTCTGAGTATGTCAACTATCTGTTTCGATTACCGCGAGAATCTATTTTGATTCGAGTAGCATGTCATTTGCATTGGCAGTTCTATCATCTCTGGCGGTTGATACGATCTATTTTTGACTAGAGCTTAGCTCAACGAAACCAAATGACATGTAGGTAACGGTGCCTCGGATTTGATAGTTAATTTTAACGCGAGTTTTGCTCGTGGTTTCTTCTAACGTTTGTTTTTCATTGAATCTAGACAGCCTTGAGTGTGTTATGCAAACACAGAGAATATTAGAAACGTAAAGTTTTGTTATATCTAGTAAAAAAATTATGACCATTACACTTGTTGTATTTAATTTACTTTCTTATTTTTAATTTATATAATCTTATATTTTAATGTTATCGTTGTGTTAATATAATATGTTATTTGTAGTCATAAATTAGTTTTGATATTAGCGAATACAATTTAATATAAATTTGTTTACATAATGGCTTCTTCTAAATTTATATTGCTCTATATTTTCATACAAATAAAATTAGATAAAAGTATTATTTTATTACGTAGCGATTTTAATCTGTCTAACTGACTTTATATTTACTTATTTAATATAATTTTCAACTTGAATAGGATGAGACATTTAATTTGATTATTGCATAAGAATAAAAAAAATTAAAAACGAAGACATTTATTGTAACCGAATTAATATATTAAGCAAATGTTTTATAGAAATTAGCTTAGTTTTGCTATTTATGTGATTAGGGAAACTAGACAATTAACAGGCGTAACAACGACTAAACTTGTTTATTTAGATAATTTAATTGTATTATGTTTATGGTATACTACTATGGGGTATATTAGCGGATATTCATACTATATTTGTATTACAGAAATGAGCCATATATTTCATTTATAATGTGGGTTCAAGAGAATTAGTTCAGCAATGTTTTAAGGAATCAATAATCCTCACAGTTGTTTCTCTGTAAATTTAAGAAAACTAACTGTATGCAAAGAAAAATCTTAAAATGTAAACTTTTATTTTTATTTATCTATTTAATCTTTTACTGAAATAAGCAACCATTCTAATAAAAACTAACACCATAAGGACAAAGGCCTTCTTTGGAACTTAAAGTTAAACGCGTAAGATAGTTGGATAGTAAACTACTAAAGTCTATCCTCTAGACTTAATATCTGTAAAAAGGTCTATAATAGAATAGACAAATATATTAATGACAAAGTGGCAGAAGTAAATCAAATGTAACTGAATTTCCATTAAAAAGTAGAGTTGACTTAACTGATCAAATTGTTGACATTCTTTAAAATCTTTCTTTTTTTTATTTTTGACGTAATCGTATAGCTTAAATAAATAATGCTCTTTATAATGTTCAGACTGGTAGCGGCGCGGTGGGCCGGTTCGTTTGCTTCCTATAAAAAAATAACACTACGATGACTGGCTCATCCGTCATACTCGTGTACGGATGCTTCTAGTAGAGACTAATCTATTCTAGAACTTTGTGATTGACTATAGTTTTTAACAATATGTAGTTTGTGATAGTCATTCTATTCACATATTATATATATTCATATTATATATGTAAACGCAATTTTTGTTTGAAAAAAGCAACAGTTGAGTTTCTTGCTCGTTCTTCTCAGGTAAAATTGTATTTAGAACTGGGTGGGGAATTTTTAAAAAAATGCTATTCAAAAATGTCATAAGCGTTTAGATTTTTTAATTTTAGTTAGTGTATTAAGTTCCAATAACCAACTCGCTTTTTAGGCATTGTGACTTATGTGTGTAAAGTCTCCAATGCTCAATCAAAAGGACCAATAATGTGTAGCTACCGGTGTGAATAGCAGAGGAATGTGTGATGGCAATGGGGAGGGCCTATGTCCTGAAATGACGATGAATGATCAAGTTATGTAAAAAATCAATGGTATTTGTATATTGTAAAAATTTTACTGTAGTACTTAGTAATATACTTTGATATTGATATGAAAATGAAATATATGAAAAATAAGTATTTCTAAAATATTATTAGACGAAAACTACATCGTACGAACTACCTTAAAGTTTATAGTTATCCCCAGTTATCCGTATTCAGCGAGAACTTCAAGAATCTTGAAGTTCCAGACTAGGAGAGACACAGGAGCGTGTGTATGCAAAGTTCTTTAGAGGTGGCGGGACGAGATAGGGTGCGAACATGTCATACATACCTGTACATACTCACGGTATCTTGTTGACTAACAACTTCCTACAACAATATACTATTTGCTTATTAACTTCTGTATAAATTAAATACTAATTTCTAATAATATTTTAAATATATAAATCATGCTGAAACTGCTGAATGGTACCTAATGATTGAATATATATATGTATATATATATATATATATATATACATATATATATATATATATATATGTGCTTTGTTGACTGTCCTAAAATATAAATGAAAATGAGGTTCTCAATTCGGTTGTATTTTTTATGTTTGTTGCCCCATAATTCCGTCCATTATAAGGCGATTTGATAAAATCTTTCAGATAAACTAAAAGGATATACTTAAAGATTTTGTTCTATATCTGTAGAAATTTTATTAAAATTGGTTCAGTAGTTTTGTTTATACATTATAGTAATTTGTCACGATTAAAATAGTTTTTTTATGGATCACAATCTTTGAGAATCTATTCCTATAAAACTCAAATAAGTATATCGTGTGGTCCCGGTATAGAATGCGCCTCCCCTTCTTTTCGCGTGGGTGTCCTAGTCAACTAAGGAATCTTAATAGTCAAGGGATGTACAGCAGTGTTCGTCTTAAAATATCACTAAAATCTTACTGAGATTGCCAACTCGCCCGCCAAGCGTGGCAACTACTGGCAAGACTTTCCTTATGGGGGAGGCCAATGTTCAACTGTGGACAGTTAATGGCTGATATGGTATGATGAAATTTGTTACACAAATAGTAGGTAACATCAGTGGAGAAGAACATACGCATCTTTTAATCTCAGTCAACTAATATGTCCCGGTTATATGGGCGAAGTCGCGGGTATAGCTAGTTTTTTAATATAGTACGCTCATTAAAACCTTTTTCGTCGAGTCAAAAATAAATACCACTTAGATGATTAACCAAGTAAAACTGAGTATATAATAGTAAATAGACAAGGAGCCACAGCCAGCGTGCTCCGGAGATGAGAGGAGGGAGAAGAGGAGTGGGGGGAGTGTCGGTATGGCTGGCAACAATTAGCAAGTAGGTACATCAACAATCCCGAGGGTAACGTTTCGCTTTCAGACGTCTATGTTGCTATTAACTTCTTGATTATTTGATTTATGTGTATTCCCTCACACAGACATTGTAACTGAACAACTAATACTGTAAGAAACTACCAAACTGGATTTGATAATAATATACACTCTAGTGTGTAATCTTACTAATTAATAATAATAATAGAATCTTAACTTACTGCTTCCTAATATAACAAAATTGTAACTAGATTGTTAACTTGTCTGTACATGGGAAATATTATATTTATTAGAAATTTTGTTTATCCGTATGTTTCGGCATGATTACGCAATAACTACTACACCAAATTAGGTACTGCGATTATAGATGTAATCTAGAATATCTAGTTGAAAATCTGGTGTATGCTTCATCTTGATACGATTTATAAAAGCGTTATATATTTATATATTTGGTTTATTTCATAGGTTTATTTATTTCTGAAATCCACTCGAATGAAGTAGCGTGCGAAAAACTAGTATGACATATAATCATTTAATGGTGTTTTAAAAAAAACTTATATGTTCTGGGCACGGATAGTTTTTAATTTTTTTTTGGGCCTTGTTACGGTATTGTATTCGTGTGTCTCACTCATATATCCAGCGCGTATCAACAACTGCTACCACCTGAAAGCATTGCGCTTCGAATCGTCCCACTTACTTACCCATTCATCATGCCTTTTTGTTACTCTTTATAAACATAGTTTTTTTCAATTACGCAAGGTTTAGTGTCTAGCTGCTCATTTTTGGATCTCCATCGTAGGATACCATCACTAAATATATATATGTTAATTCACTGTTTCGGTTCGCTACTGGTATCTACGTGTTGCCGAGTATTTATAACCGATTTAAGTCCAACAAAGGAATTCTTTGCACCTGAATCGCGTAACATTATTACAAAGAGGACGATCGGACAATCAATTATCAAGATTAAGAAAAACAAAATAAATATGTGTATATAGTTGCATAAACATCTAGTAACAGCTACTGTTCCAAAAATGTAATGGTTCGTAAAATAGTAAACTAATGTATACAGTCTCCATTTTATAACGAATTATATTTACTAGATCAAAATCAAGTTATATTCTCGTGAATCTATAAAAAAGTTAGAGTAACTAGTTCATTTAAATACTTTTAGTGAATTCTAATACAGAAACACAAAAAACCATATTAAACATTTTAAAAGAAGGATTCTACTATTGCAATTGAATTTTTTAACACATATTGGTTGAAAATGTCAAACATTTAGAGCCTTTTACTAATTTAACAGCTAGACGTGCTGTGACTTGGCCGTATGTGTTATTTGGAAAGTCTTCATTTTCCCTAATACAATATCCAAACGCCTTCATTATCAGCAATAAAACCTATTACGTAGATCTTCTCGCGGTTCTCCCTGGAAACCATCGTGGTTTATTTTTGTTAAATTCACCATAATGAGCCAACTG